TTTTTATTTGAATATGAATAAGAATCTTTAGTTGTGAATGTTGATGGACGATTGTGATTATGCGGGCTAGTTAAAAGCTATGGAGAGAGAGAGCAATTTGTTAATTTTGAGGAGAAAGAGAGAGAGACAAGGAGGGTAGTAGAGGAGAGGAAGAGTTACAGTCCTCATGTTTCTCTAATTAAACCAATGCTATTAGGAGTGGATTGGTCATCAAATTGGAGAGGGGTTTGATCATGTCCGTTGAATCGGTTGGACAGGAATTTAAAAATCAAGAAAAAAAAAAAAGTTTAAAAATATATAATATATTTTTTAAAAAGTTGTTTATTTTGTATGACAAGTTTAACCGGTCAAAGCCGTTAACATTGATTTTGATTGATTTTTTTTATCAAAACCCAATTTTTTCTCTGGATTAATTTTTTCAAAGCACCATTTGGTAGGCCGATTGTCCAGTCGGATTGCGGTCTGATCTTGATAAGTGTGGTTCAAAATGTATTAAGAAATGTGGGCCATTGACCAAATGTACAATTTGGATCCCGAGAAGGGTTAAATGAACCAAAAAAACCTTCTAAATGAAACTTGTACTCCTTAATGCATGGTTGTAAAACTGGGAAATGCATGGTTTCTATGGAACCCCACCCATATATATAATAATAACTGACTTTTGAACGCACACATCAGATCTGAATAGATGGTTAAGATGACTTGAGTTACAATATCATAAGCTCTCTTAACTGTTAGATCGTGATCGGACTGCTCAAAGTTTTATATTTTTAATTTTTATTTTATAAATCATTTTAATCCAAAATTTGGGGCATGCATAGAATAAAAACAAGTTATTTCCGATGATGAAAGATTATCAAAATACCCCTAAAAATTTCAGGGCATTTTGGTCATTTATTTTAATGGAAAATATTTATTTTTTTATTTTTTGTAGGTTCCCCTTAATTTATGATGGGACTCCCAAATTTTCATTCAAAAATATTTTGTAGAAAAAAAATGAAAATTAAAGCAATGTTTGACGTGACATTCTAGTATGACAATTGTAGCCGTTCGATTCAGATCGAACGGCTGAAAAGCGAGGTCCCATATAACTTGTATGTTGTTGGGGTCACATAGAAAGTTCTCCTTTTAAAACTCATCAAGTCGATTTGGATTAGCAGAGTTACTCCGGGATTGTATACCATGAGATCATTTACCTTATGTACATGAAGGCCACAATTATTTATGGGAAAGTTTATGTAGAGTCGAGGCTCTAAACAATCAAATTAGAGGCCACCTAAAAAAATTTATTAGGAGAGGTTGTTTAGATGCCTAAATATCCTCAAATTGATTATCTCGACATCAATATGAATTGACATGAGAAAAAAATGGATTTAAAGTTTTGGAAATACTACATCTTGTAACACATTTTGGATTGTCAATTTTCAAGAATTTCAAGCGGTCATAGATCGGCTCAATCTACACTATTTTTGAAGATTTAAATTTTATAATTAAAGATAAAAATATATTTTAAGACTATCACAAATATTTCCAATATTGAAACCACATTTCGCGATACTATTTGAAGGTGAGCTCTAATTTGATTATCTAGACCTTCGGCTCTATACAAACCACACCTATTATTTATAACCATCCGATGTGACGTATGATAGTTTGAGTATATCACAAAGTTCGAAAAAATCTCTTTTGAACTTTGAACTTCGTCAATTAAATAAACACAACTACCCAATGTCACATCTAATAGTCAAGATTAATTGTGACAGCCTTGTATCAGAGATAAATAGTCTCATTATGTACTTTTTCGTTACTCGGACTCGATACCTTGTCAACTTGAGTTCCCATCTATAAATTTAGTTATGTGATAAATTTATAAAAATTATTTTTCTTAAATCAATATATAAATATTTTTATATATGATTGATTTTTTGGCCTCATCATGGGTTATATTTTTCTAAGTAATGTTTTTTGGATTTTTTCAAAAGTATTTCCAGCCATAAATAAATTTATATCAAAACTCCATCTTTTACATGTTGTTTCCATCTATAAATATTATATTAAATATATACATGTATTATTTAAATATTAAAACTAAAAATATGTAATTATATTTATTTAAATACTGTTAAAATATTATATATTCGAGTCGGGTCCATAAGGACCTGGACTGGGACCTTATTCAGCGGGTCCAATTTTTGGACCCATACCCAGACGTAGGTCGGGGGCCCGTGTCGAGTCGAGGTCCACTGCCACCGCTAAATTCAAATGCCTTACCCTTACAAAAATCTATTTTAGAGAGATTTGGGATCTTAGCATTGAACAATCCACCTTAGAGATGGATAAGGATTTGAAATTTCATATATTAACCGTTAAAAGTATATTATCTCAATTCCCCTTTTTTTTTTAAAAAAAAAATTTAGTTGTGTCTGTACCTCCATATGACCGAACAAACTGGTCAAAGTTGCCGATCTGAACTGGTTTTGCATGTCACTAATTAATTACCTGTTCCAGGTTTTAAAACACCGGTAACAACGTATCCAATCCAAGAATATAGGTTACCTAGTGTGTCACTCAGGCTCAGACCAGGGTCTTGAGCCTATTTGAGAAATCAGTTGAGTCGAAGGCTTGACTCGGCCGTTTTGGAAGAAATTAACAATAAGGACCCTAGGCTCAAGAAGATCTTCTAATTTTTTACCACTCTATCTGGAACCACTAGTGCTCCGATCTCAAACAAAACTCAAGCGATTATGAGCCATATAATTCTCAAATTACTTACTTACATGCTAAGACCTCTTTTTTCTTGCAGGGGACTGTGATCACAGGGCTGTTATACTATGTGCAAGCATGGTGCATCCACAAAAACGGGCCTGTTTTCACTTGTTCTTTTGCGCCTCTTGTTATAGTCTTTTCTTTCCTCTTAGAGACCTCCTTCCTTCCGACTCCCATATATCTAGGAATGTATGCTTAGGCCCATCTTCCTTTTTTCTTTTTTTTTTATATATATATATATAAATAAAAAAATTATTTTTATTTTATTTTCCTTAGGTTTTTCCCCCAGTAATTTCCTCTGTTTCCCTAAATGAATTCAAAGTAAACTTGAGAACCTAGGTTATAACTTTGAATATTGGATGCTCCTGGTTATATTAATATGGAAAGTAAATTTTAAATATTTTAACTATGAATTTTTACTTTTTTTAATTTGTATTTCATTTTTGTTTGATTAAGTGTTTTGTCTAGAGCTGCTTAATTTTATATTTTTCTAGTTTTCTTTCTTATTTTTTCTTCATTGGATAAGCTAAATACTATAGAAAAAATTGTTATCTTTATATTTTCTAATTTTATGTTTTTTATTTTTATTTATTCGTGTTCTTCTTGTTAATATCTATGATAGACTTCTTTAAAATCAAGATTTGGATAAAATATAAAGCATCAGGCTATCCAAAACTTACTTGTATGACTTTTTGTTGTAGAACTTCCCCTCACTAAAAAGGACCCGGTTTCTATGTGGCCAGGCCCACATATGTAGAAATACGGGCCTATTAATAAATATATTTTTGAGATATATTTTTTGACTTAATTTTTTAGGACATGTAATCTCTAACATGGAGATCATGAATATGAATAAATAAATAGATTTTAAAAATTAAAAATAAAAATTCTAGTAGGAAAACTTTTGGACCATTAATTTCTCAACGGTCAGCACCTCATTTGCCCAAAGGTGCTAGAACTTTGTGGTATGTAGCCAAATGGGTTATATTCTATGAGAAGTTTGGAAAGAAAGAAATAGAAGAGTCTTTGATGATGCGTCACTTTATTTGGAATGCTTGATTTATGTAATTAAATCGACGATTTGGTCATGGGTTTTAGTCACTAGGGAAGGGGGTGTGACTAAAATCGATGTTTTTTCAAATCTCAGCAATTTTTTTCTACTTGGAGGAAAGAATTGTCGTCCCAAATCATTTTGGACACCACCATTGGCAAGTACTTTGAAGCTTAATTTTGATGGTAGTTCTCAAGGTAATCCAGGTGTTGCGGGTATAGGTGGTGTGCTCAGAGATGGTGGAGATAATGTCATCTTCTCATTTGCTGGTTCCATTGGTTATGCCACTGCTAATAGGGCTGAACTAAATGTGGTGTACCATGGGTTAAAGTTTTTCAAGGAGATGAATTGTAGGGATACTGTTTGAATTGAAGGCGACTCTTTGAATGTAGTCAAGTGGTACAATGAGAAGCAACGGGTGCTTTGGGAGTTTTGTTCACTTTGGCTTAAGGTCATGGATATTACTCTCTTTCTCTCTTTCAGAGTCTTTGTTCATATTTATCGTGAAACTAATTATTTAGTTTTTGTCTTTTGTTCATATTTATCGTGAAACTAATTATTTAGTTTTTGTCTTTTGTTCATATTTATCGTGAAACTAATTATTTAGTTGATGTATTGGTATTCATATTTATTTGATTGTATTGGTATTCATATTTATCATGAAACTAATTATTTAATTGATGTATTGGTAAAAGGGGAACTAAATATTTAGTTGATGTAACGGTAAAAGGGGAGGGACTAATTATTTAGTTGATGTATTGGTAAAAGGGAAGGGGAGGGGATGGTAAAAGGTGAGGGACTATATGTTTTATAGAGTTTATTATAAGTGCAAACATTTGTAAAATAAATAAATAAATAAATAGATAAAAAAGGTTGCAACCTTGTATAAATTTTTTCTATTTTTTCCCTAAAGATGTTTACATCATGTTTTAATAAAATACTTAAGAAATTAAAATGATCATTTTAATCCGACGACTTTTTTGAGAAAACCCTGATTTGACTACATCAAGCATTATTGAATGGTGTGACATTTTAATAATATTTTACAATAATAAATACTGAAGTGACGAGCACATCTGTCTAACGGCCACGTGCTTTTGGGCCACAGAGACAGAGAGAGATCCTGCCCATTATATCCCTAGAGAGAGATAGCATGATCATTTGTAGAGAGAGAATGAGAGAAGGTCCAATATCATCCATAGAGAGAGAGAGAGAGAGGGCAGGATCATTTATAGAGTGAGAAGAGAGCATGATCATTTGTACAGAAGGAAGAAGAGTATTAGAGAATCCTACCTTAATATTGTCGCTAGAGAAAGAGCAAGATCATTTAGAGGGAGAAAGAGAGAGGATGATGATTTAGAGAGAGAGAGAGAGAGAGCGAGAGAATGATGATTTGTGGAGGAGGCATGTGGCTTTGGTGCAAGGAGTGATAAAAAGATTGGTGATTGTTTTGAATTTGATTTGAGAAATGAGGGGAAGCGGATTGGTAGAGGGGATGCAGGCTTATAAGCCGCACTTGCTCTTGATCCTTATGAATTTGGGGATTGCAGGGCTTCTGGTTTTGACAAAATCTGCTCTCTCCACAGGGATGAGTGCCCCGGTTTTGCTTGTTTACCAGCATGTTGTGGCCACCTTGGTCCTCACTCCCATGGCTTATTTTGAGAGGTAAGACCTACAAACAATCTCTCTCTCTCTCTCTCCATCTTTGTTTTTTTTTTTTTTTAACGGCTCTCAATCTGTTAATATTCTTCTCAGTTGGAATTGTTTTTGTGGCACCATCACAGAGAAAAGAGACCGCCGCTGTCCTTCAAAATACTCGGCTGGGCATGTATCTTAGCTTTTCTCGAGTAAGTCTTTATCTTCTTCTTCTTTATTTATTTATTTATTTATTTCTAATATTTATTTTTTGGACCATTCGAAAGTTTGTTAAACTTTTAAACCAACTATAGTACAATGAATAGCTCTTGGTGTTTTGAACACGTAGACTCTGGACCGAGGCTAAAATGGGAACAAAAGAATAAAAAATTGGATCAATGAATGTCAACAATACCAATAAATTGGATCATTTTTATTATTTGAACCGCATCAAACCAACTTAGAACATGAATTTTGAAGATATTGTTTGGAGTGCCTAAATGAATTGAAAATTTAAAAATAAACATTAATGCTAATGGGGATCTTTTGAGTATAACCCCTTATCATTTTAGTCAAAAGTTTACATGCTCCAGCATCACTGACATATGGATAAAATCCTGTCTAATAGTATTTTTAGAGCCCAAGTTTTGGGCGATAACCTCCTCGACCTATAGATCAACCTAATCATGCCATAAGATTTAATTGAGACGATCTAATTTTATAATTATATCTATTAAAGAACTCAAACATCTATTATTTTCTCAAATACTTCTCCGTATGATTAAAGTGGACATCAAAATCGTATACCAAAAACTTCTACTGAGTACTTCTGTTACCTTGGGGAGTAAGTGTATAGTGTGCTCTTACGAGATTCACTCATTATTTTATTCTATATAAACGGTTTTAGGAAAAGAGAGACTAAGAAAATCGCAATTATAAACGTAGTGGAAACTCTTGATTTTAAGCAAATAAACATTACAAAATATGTTAATGATAAAAATTACAAAATATATAATGCTAAAAAAAAAACTACAAAATATGTTTCTAATTGTTGTTTGGTTACACAGGATAATGGTTGTGCAATTCCTATATACTGTGAGTCTCCGATTTATATCGGCTTCATTTCAGAGCACTGTTACGAATGCCGAAACGGCCGTTACGTTGGTCTTGGCCTTGGTTTTTGGGCAAGAGAAATTAGGGTTTTGGAGAATTGAAGGGCAAGCCAAGGTCCTTGGTGTGGTCACTTCCACTGTTGGATCAACGGTGATGGTGCTATGGACTGGGCCAACAATCCTGAAAACGTTGCACATTGATGGGGGTTCACCAAGTCTGGATCATGTTACAGGAGGTTTGATGCTTGTGCTTGCCATGTTGGCTGAGAGCACATGGTTTCTCTTAATGGTAACAAGTTAATGCCAAAAAGCACACGAAACATTGTTTTTACTAGTGTTAGCAAGACTCGATTGGATTGGTCGCTCCAAACAGGTGGATCAATGCTTTGTCTAGTTTGGTCCAAGTCAAAAACTAAATCTGGTTGAGATCTAGCCAAAATTATTGTTTGGCTAGTTAGATGAGACCGATTTGATCGGTCAGACTAACTAAATAAGATTGAGCAATTTTTTAAAAGATAGAGCAAAATTTGTCAAAATGTAACTAAGAGATGAACTATTTGAAATTTTACTCGTACCTTTTGATTTAAATTAAAAATAATGCCATCAAAATACACATGATCGTGAGCTGAATTAGTTGAAAACAACTACAATGTTAAATAGTTGATAAGTTAGGTGTATTTTTATAATTTGATTGAAAATAAATTTTATATTGTCAAGTTGTTCTTAGTTTTTCTTCAACAATTAGGCGACAACTTTAGGGTTGCGGTGTTCTACACTATTTATTTTAGTTGGACAACGTTAGGGGTGACAACGGACCCGAACCCGACCCGAGACTTGCCTGGTATACCAGACACGGGTCTGGGTATGGGTCCAACATTCGGACTCGGTGGGTCGGGTTCAGGCCCAAAACTTGGACTGGCCTGCCCCCAAACACTAATCGGCTTTGGGTCCAAGTCCGATAGGCCCCGACCCTCAGTTATAAACTGTGAGAGATGAAATACTTCAAGCCCTATTCGTTTGGATGTATTAAGGATCATATACAATAAAAACTGTTAGTCATCTTTAGCTATTAAATGACAAATTAGATGGCTTGAAATTTAATGATGGGTGATTGTGAACTTGTTGCTAATAATATGCGTATATGATGGGGAAAAAAAAGCAAAAAAGAAAAAAAAGGTGGCAATGGACCCGACTAAGGCCGGGACCCAATAGGTACGGGTATGGGTCCAACTTTTGGCCCCGATGGGTCGGGTCCAAGTCCAGAACCTGGACACCAAGATTCGAATACTATTCAGTTCTAGCTCCGGGTCCCGCCGGACCCGACCTGTACCTAACCCCTAGACAACGTAGATTAGACAAGTCTCTTAAGAGGATAAAATTTGGTAGAACTTTTAATATTTGCCAATAGTGTCCCATTAAAATGAACAGTGTAAATCATTACCATCCTGAAAATGGGTTTGGGGTTTGGTGGTAGCATCATTTGTGTCCCAACTAAAGTTTACGCTTCTATTCTCACTTAACACATTACCACTAAAGATTTCGACTCGTAGTCCCCATTGAATTACCCAAGAAAAAAAAAAAATCATTACAATCCTACTTCTACTGATAAGGGTGCCGCATTGGATAAACTTTTCCTTGCTTGTTCGGAGGAAACTAATTTATATTTGTTATATGAATTTAATAAGAATGTGTATAATATGCTCCATCGGGAGCATAGTTTACTTCTACTCCTTTGGTCAGATGACCTACTTGGGAGGATTTTCTCATTCCAAAGTTTTAGTAACCACCTTTAATCACTAGATGGTTATTCTCAAAAAAAAAAAAAAAAAATTGAAATTTGAGCTTCCTAAAACTTGGATCTCACCCTGTAAAAATTGGACCGTTTCTATTCGATCTTAATACATTATTTTTTTCAAGTGCTTAGACGGTGCAATTAGAAAAAAATATATATGGAGGCTAATCTATGTGATAAAGAGGTTATATCCCAAAATTTAGGGTCCTAAAACTAATCCGAGGTGGGTTTTACCTAAGGGAGTAAATAGACAGTATACTCCCTCAGGAGTAGAATATATTTTGGCAATTTAATTATGTCATGCCCCTTTCTTAACCTAATTTTTTTTGGAAGAGGGATCGAACTTGAACTTTTTTGGATGAAATTCTTCCAAATGTTTTCCTAAAGCCAGTGACAGTTGAGTCATGCATAAATAAATTCATCGTAAAGAAAAGTTGTCTACTTTGTTTGACCTATTAAACCGATTAAAAACCGACCGGTCGAACAATAAAAAATCAGTTGAACTCTGGTTTTGATCTATTTTTTACCAAACCTAATATCTATTATTAAGTCTAAACCAAACCAGCCACATTGGCAATCCGACTAATTAACATTGATTTCACTATGTTATGTATTGTAGGGTCCTGCGGTTAGGATGTACCCTGAGGGGTCATTGATGGCTATGATGAGCTGCTTTGGGACCATACAGACCACCATAGTGGCTGCCATAACAGAGAGGAAAGCATCCTCGTGGGCCATTGATTTTGGTGGAGGACTGGAGCTTGCAACCATCCTATACGGGGTAATTGTTTTAATTTCTATGCAAGTATTTTCCATTATATGCATAAACCGGGAGGAGAAAAATATATATTTATTCCCTTAGATAAATGACGTATTTATAAATAATTTTTAACTGAATTTTGGGATCAATTAAATTTTGATTATTTTATAAAAAAAAATTATTTTGAGTAGATCTTGTTGTTCAAGAAATTGATGGTTTGTGGGGCATGATTTTTTTTTTTCTCAGTTCCAAAGTGCTATTAAAATGGGATGGCCTACAAAGTGGCAATTTATTTTTATTACATATAAGTCACAATCATTTCTACTCATTAGATGTCAAATTAGATGGTTTGGGATAAGTCACAAAATCTAAGATTTGTTTTTTGAAACTTTATGTCTAATTTACAACTTCCCATTTTGAAATTTAAAAGACAAGAACGATATAGACCTCTTTATACAAAAAGTAAATAGTCCCTTTGTAGACAATCCTTATTAAATGATGTTAAGTTAGTCACTTGGTTATCTAGCTGGGGTCCTACCTGAGAAAGTAAATTTACATTTTTCTCCTCCAGGAACAGATAATCCTTTCAATTTTATGTTTTTCTCCATGCGGATTTGATTTGATGATTCTTCTCACAATCACATCATTTATTCAAGGAAAAAGTTTATATAAGGATGCAAGCTTATAATGTAGAACTACAGATGCACCTCAAAAATCCATTGAAAAAGGTAGTTTTAATGTTGAAAAACCTTTTGATTGATCATCTCGACATCGAGATGTATGACCATGAAAAATAAAAAGATTTTAAGTCTAAAAAATAGTCCATTTTACAACATATTATCTACACAGTCCATTTTCAAGATTTTCATATGTTTATAGATCTACTTGATTTTAACCATTTTTTAAATTTAAAATTTTATAATTACATATAAAAATAGATTTTGAGATAATCCTAAGAACATTTTACATCAAAATTATATATCATGATAAAATTTGAAGGTGCATCTTACCTCTACAGGTACGGATGCATCCGTATGCCAACTACACCCTTTATTCAAAGAGATTGTATGCTAAGAGACTATTTTTTTTTGGAATAAAGATGTCAGAATTGGTACTAGCTATTAGATGTCAAATTGAATGGTTTGGGGTGTATCACAAAGTTTGATAATTTTTTTTGAACTTGGAGTCTAGCCAATAATAAACTTACTTCCATCTGATTTGAAATTTGATGGACAAAAGTTATTTTGACCTCCTTGTATCAAAAGTAGATGGTCTTTTAATATACTTTCCCTTTAAAAAATTGCAAACAAAATGGGTACGAATGTAATTACGGAAAGATATGCATAATTTTCTCTATTTTATATAAGACAAAGAATTTTTAGGAGTTAAAGTTAGAGACCAAACTATCAAAACTAGCAAGTGGCAATGATGGTGTATGTTTAAATTATGATGATTACGAAAGATGGAAAAAACGAATAAAATTTTCTCCAACAAGTCAGTCCCTGAAAAAATGGGGATTAGGGATTAGGTCTTTAATAACAATGTCTCTTATTAAGAGAGGGCCTGGGGTTGTGGTAGTAGCATCCTCACATCCAATTACCACATCATGGTATCCATTCCTACCATTGACACCCCCAATTAACACCTTCTAAATGTAAAGGATGCAGTTTGTATAGAGCCTAGGCTCTAAACAATCAAATTAGAGCCTACCTTTAAATAATGTGTGGTTTCAACACTGTAAATCTTTATGATAGCGTTGAAATATATTTTCATCTTTATTTATAATGTTTAAGGCTTAAAAAATATTGTAAATCTACAGATCTATGAAAACATGAAAATCTTTAAAATTGACGGTCAAAAAATGCATTACAAAATACACTATTTCCAAAAATTGAAATCCATTACTTTCTCATGACCATGCATCTTGATGTCGAGATGATCAATTTGAGGATATTTGGGTATCAAAACAAAACAATCTCTTCTAGTGAAAATTTTGAGGTAGGCTCTAATTTGATTGTTTAGAGCCTCGACTCTATATAAACTTTTTCCCAAATGTAAATCCCTAATCTATTGAAAAAACTGGTTGGGGCATGTCTTCTCCACTGAATTACTTACAAAAAAAAAAAAAAATCTCTTCATGTGAATTTATATCTAAAATATTTATCCATATATTTACAAACCTTTTATTAGGAGGAGGGTTTCTTTTTTTTATTTGCTTTTATATTGTGTATAGTTTCAACTTGTTAGGAATCTCATCCCATGAAGGAGGGACACCAATGGAATTGTTCGTTTGATGAAAGGCAGTTCGGGAATATGGAAAAATGTGATTAATTGATTAAGTCTTTTTTCCAAATATAGCTGTTATCCCCTTGAGTCCATATAAATAGAAATCACGTTAAAGGGTTTGCGGCTCTTTATTGGTTTGACCAAAGCCATTTCTCTTGGGTCATTTTAGATGGGCATATCTCTTGGGTCATTTTTTAGGTAGACTCTTCTTGGTGCATCAGGGTTACATGAAGTTTTCTTTTGCAGAGAAGAAGAAGAAGAGATATAGTGTTATCATTCTCTGAAGAGAGAAGAAGAAGAGAGAGTTATTATTCTTCTTAAAGAGAATAAGAAGATGAAAAAGAGTCAGTGATCATCTTCTCAAGCTTTTTTTTGTTCTGAGAGAAAAAAGGGGGAAGGGAAGAAAATGAGAGGAGTAGAGAACCTTTTCTTTTAGAGAGAGAAAGCCCTTAGAAAGAAAACAAGTATCTGATATCAGAGAGGGAAATCTTAGAGAGAAATCCAAAGATGAAATCGGTGATCCCAAGAAAGGTTATTTTTTGGAAGACTATTGTAACTTTGTCATATTTGTGTTTCTCTAATTTCCTGGTTCCACTGCGCGCGTCTGCATTCGTGCGAGATGGTTCTAACTGGGTAAGCCCACCTAGTGGTATTGGAGCACGTTTTCCTTCGCCCCTTGGTCCTCCCTATCACCGTTTTACGATATAGCGAACCTAGTGGTTGTCGGATGAGTAAGGACGAACACAAGTACAACAATAACAATCGGGTGTCAGTAACGATCGGACGACACAACGATCGGGCGACAGTTCGCGATCGGGTGACAATTCACAATCAGGCGGCAATTTGCGATCGGGTGGCAGTTCATGATCGATGGGCAGTTCACGATCAGTGGGCAGTTCACGATCGGTGGCCAGTTCACAATCGGTGGGGCAGTTCACGATCGGTGGGCAGTTCACAATCAGTGAGCAGTTCATTGAAATGATCGGGAAATATATGACCATATCGCATGGGAGATAGACAGTGTGTGTGGATAGATGGATTCCAATACTAGGAGCACAATGAATATCTGGATCATCTGAAAACCAAAGATGAAAGATCTATTATACTGTCAGAACTTGTACGCACCCATTGAAGGGGTAGAATACAAAGCCGAAAGTATGACAGACGATGAGTGGAAGGGACTGGACCGAAAGGTTCTCGGAACTCTCCGACAATGGTTGGAAAAAAATGTGTTTCACCATGTGTCGATGAAGACATCCTCAAAAGTCATTATGGGTTAGGCTACATGACTTGTACGAGAGGAAGACCGCCAGAAATAAGGTGTTCTTGATCTGGAAGTTAGTGAACATGAAGTTCAAGGATGGGGAACCTGTTGCAGAGCGCTTAAAAGAGGTGTAAAGCATTGTTAACCAACTCACAACGATGAAATTGTTTCTAGAAGATGAGCTATAGGCTCTGTTTTTGCTCGGTTCACTGCCAGACAGTTGGGAGACACTGATAGTCTCGTGAGTAAGTCAACACCAGCTGGGATAGTGACTATTAGTCAGATCACTAGCAGCTTGCTGAATGAGGAGGTGAGAAGAAAGTCTCCAACACATCGGACTCGTAATCCCTTGTCACAAATCCAGGAAGGTCTAGAAATGGGGACCAAAACCAATCGAAGACGAAAAGGGAGACCAAATGTTTTCATTGTGACAAGGAAGGGCACATCAAGAAAGATTGTCGGAAGCTCAAGAATGAGCAGAATGATGACAATGCCATGGGTGAGGGGTGTATTAAAATTGCATCATGCAGCTCGGATTGAATTGCGGATATCGGAGCATCGGAGTTGTTTGGTGGCGCATCGTACCTCGTCACCTTTATCAATGATGCTTCATGAAGGTATGGTGAAATCAAAAGATAGGGTGTTTGAGATCTTTCTGGATTTCCACACAAGGTGGAATAGGAGACGCGAGTTGCTAAAGTGTCTCAAAGTTAGGAGCATGTTATCTACCACTAAGGTGTATTGGGGTGAAGCAGTCCTCACAACATGCTACCTAATATCAATCCTGTTGTTTTCTCTGGATGGTCAGATCCAAGAGAGAGGTTGGTCCGAAAAGGATTTCTCCTAGTCACACTTGATGGTGTTCGAGGAATTGGTACACGTTCCAAGGAACAAAGATCCAAGTTTGAATAAGAAAGGACTCCTATGCATCTTCTAAAGGTATTCAGATGAAAAGTTCAGTTTAGGCTATGGGATCCCGAGTACATGAAGGTGATTAGGGGTATGGATGGTCTTTCAGAAAGACCTTACTATTGACCATGTGAAGAAGGAAGCACATCCACAAATTTTCAATGGTTCAGAACCGGTCATAGTTTCTCCACCATGGTAATTGAAAATGGGGGAGAAGTGAAACAAGAGGATGGGTCCAAAGAGTTGACATGTGAGTCCAAGTGATGAGGAACAGAGGGAGCAGCCTATTCAAGAAGTGTCACCTACAGTTGAACTGAGGAGGTCATCTAGGGGATATAAACCCTCTACCAGTTACTCTGAAAGGGGTGAAAATCTACCAGGAAGTCAAGCCGACAAACACAAAAAGGTGTGGGTTAAAGCTATGTAAGATGAGATATATCCTTGGATAAGAATCATAACTATGATCTGGTAAAGTTGTCGAAAGGCAAGATGGCACGGGTTGAGTGTCAGGAGAAGTCTTCAATCAAGAAGATAAAGGAAGAAACACAAAAAGTTCTCTATGGGTCGGCCATAAGAAGCACATATAGTAGAGGCGTGGTGAGCTCAATTAGATATTCTCGGTGAGTGTCGTATTGATCGACATACCATTAGTCATTACTTTAACCATTAGTGAATCGCCACTCTGCAAAGAAGGTATTGACTAATGGATCGTCAGTCACCACTTTAACCAACAGTGAATCACTTTAACCGCCAGTGACTCTATGGACTGACAGTAACATCGTGAGCATATTCAACTATCGTTAATCTTGGCAAGGAACAATAGACAATAGTCAATTTGATATTCAAGTATCTCAGAAGAGCATTCAAAGTGTGTATGTGCTTTAGGAGAGGAAACATATGTTACACTGGTATACAAATGAAGACATCAGAATTAGGCCCCAGGAAGTCAATCTCGGGGTACTCGATTACCTTTGCAGGGGATTTGTTGTATGACAGTCCAAGTTGCAGAAATGTGAGAAAGTATTGCAATTAGGAGAAATCCATACCGACAGGAGAATGTCGGATATGATGATGAATACTTTGGTTAAAGATAAGCAAGAGTCATGGAGAAGCATGGCTGACACGAGTGTCATTTGAGTACCTTGTTGATCTGTGAAGAGAAACCTCCTACCCGGGATTGGAGGGAAATTGGGATTGGAGCGGGGGATTGTTGGGAATCCCATCCCATGAGAGAGGGACACCAATGGAACTGTTCTTTTGATGAAGGACAGTTGGAGAATATGGAAGAAGGGTGATTTGTTGACTAAGTCTTCTTTTTATAAGAAAAACATCTCACGTGATAACTTTTGATATGGAAATATATTCCTCTTATCTCTTTCTTTTGTGGAAGTAGCCTGAAAAATTGAACCACGTAAATCCGATGTCAGTAATAATTATGTCTTTTTATGCTTTATTGTATGTTTTTCCACTCATACACACACATCGACTTTGGCATATTTGTGTTTCTCATATTTTCTAGTTCCGCTGCGCGCGTTCACATTTATGCGAGAAGGCTCTAACTGGGTGAGCCCAATACAATTAACTTACCAAAAACCATTTAGTATATGAACAAATTGAGCATTAACAGGATTATCAAGTACGTAACCCCAACAAGCCATATGTCAATACCACCTCAAAACCCTGCTAGAAAACTCATATCCTAAGCTGGAAAATAATCTGGTAGATCTATGAAGACTTCAATTGGCAGCCTAGTAGAAGTGTTACAGGATGAATCAATTTCAGGGCCTGAATTCATTTCAAGTCCGTGAATCCATGTTTGGCAAAGTAGTGATCATCAGATTTGCAGAGCTTCCAGTATTTGGATTGACTTATCCTTGCGAGATTTGGACTGCAGCTGTATACAGTATACAACCGCAGCCTTACGAAGTACTTTTTCTGGATATAATGAGTATGATTTCATTTATGTAGGGGGCTCTGGCGCAAGGGTTGTCATATTATGCACTAGCATGGTGCATAAACAAGAAGGGACCTGTGTTCACAATTGCATTTAGTCCACTATCAATCATCGGTTCTTGTTTATTGGAGACCATCTTGTTTGGTGAACCTATTTATCTTGGGAGGTATAATCGGGCTTTTTTCTCACAAGTAATTTCCCTATTTCTCTAAGTGTGGAATTGGATAACAGGAAGTTGTGGCTCCCAAAGCCACATGTTCCCAAAACTGTAGCATTTTCAGTATTTGATAGCATAAAGTACAACACTATTTTGGAAGTCATTGCTTCTTGCAGCTTCCAAAATATTGTAATCACACAGAAATGGTGGCTTATGTGATCCCCCATGGAAGCTGCCCCCTTCTGAAGCTCAAGAAAATTTATTTCAACTACTAGAAGAGGTCATGTTTCTTTTGCTGCAGAAACAATTTATTTTAACTTATGGAAAATTCTTGGAAGAGGACATGTCTATCCAATTCACTTTTGGTAGCATAGGCCAGATTGATCGGTCCGATTTTGATAACAATGTATTTTTTGTTTTATTTTGTCCTTTTTTTTAGGGCTAAGATTAAGGTTATGTGGTTTCGTTTTGTAGTATTTTGGGAGCAATGATGGTGGTGGGAGGTCTTTATCTACTCCTATGGGCCCAAGCTAAAGAAGCAAAGGCAGAAATGAGAAGAAGTGGAGATGGAGGCACAAGTACCCCTCTAGTAGCATAGAACTGTAGATTAGAGTGGTGTGTCCCAGTTATATGAGTCCACCAATTCAGAATCCATCTTTCTGAAGGATTTATTGAGGATCCAAAACTGTATAGATCTATCCTCTGGACATTGAAAATCATAGTCTTGAAAAAGAACGAGTCTTAAAACTTTCAAAATGGTCCATCTTGTACCAATTCTTTTTATAGATCTTTTATTTGAAATTTTATGGATCGTCCGATCTGCACTATCTGCGGTGTGAATATTTCAAAGGTGTTTTTTAGTTCCGAATCTTCTTCTTTTTTAATGTTAACTTAGGTTATGAATCCATTAGGAACGATTGGGAAACGTGATAAACTTTTCCGGATAATGTAAATCCTCTATGGAGAATTCCACAGTCTACACAATGTTCAAAATCTATGTCACGCTCTGGTTAGTCTTACTGTGTAAGGGGTATATATTTCTTTTCAAGATGTTTTTTTTTTTTTGGGTAATTTAGTGGGGAAGACGGACCTTACCGGTTTTTTCATAAAAATTAAGAAGTTGTCTTTTTTTAAATTGTATGTCGGTGGAATCAGCTAAATTGAAAACTACAACGTATTAACTAGAAATGAGGGTGCTACCACCACGACCTACCCCTTTCCTAACCTTTTGCAAAGGGCAATGTTGGCACAAGCGGCCTAACCAGAACGCTGCTCGCCTCTTGATATTATCATTGGAACTTTCCTTTTATTCACTTTTACTATGTGAAGGGTATAGATCTATTCTATATCATGACAACTCTCCGTTTGTATAAAGGTGCCCACCTTGTAATGTATAAGGAAGAGATACCTCTAAATTTTGTCGGGATATAGTTTCCATTTGGAAAACCTTACAATAGATTATGAGATTTAAAATTTCAAAAACATTGCAGATTTGGGTAGATCTATAACTATTTAAAACTCTTAAAATTAGACGGTCTCGATATCTTTTTACAATATGCATAATTTTTTGGACTTGAGATTCTCTTTTTTCTTTATATCCAAATATCTCATGATTAATATATTTAATTATAAGGTTTTTCAAAATGAGAAACACTTAGGATTTTTGAAGCCCACCTTACTTTTATGTTATAAGGATGCAAACTTATATACACTCCAGTATCTGAGTGTATATGGCATGCTCCCGCAATCCCATTGTATATATTGCGGGAGCATATGGCATGCTCCCGCAATCCCATTGTATATATTAACTTCCCTCGGGTAAATGAGACATTTTGGAAGAAGTTTTTTTTTGGTCGGTTTTTTTGGGATCCACTAAGAACAACTAGATAATTATTTTCAAATAAAAAAATTGTGGACTTCCCGAACCATCCAATGTGACAGCCAATCCGGTTCGACTCGGGAATCGGTACAGCCCGTGCCGGTTCCATAACAAAATCGAGAGTCGTCCGGTTCTAGAACAGAACCGCCAGTTCCCATCCGGTTCTCTCCCAATTCTAGCCTCAAAAGCACCTTCACACGTGTGTATGCGTCACGCGTGCGACACGCACTACTCCCACACATGTGTACGTGTGACACAAGTGGTACATACTCCCACACGAGCCACACACACTCCCACACGTGCATGTGCGAGAAGAGTGGTACACACTCCCACACGAGCCACACACACTCCCACACGTACATGTGCGAGAAGAGTGGTACACACTCCTACACGTGCATGTGCGAGAAGAGTGGTACACACTCCCACTCGAGCCACACACACTCCCACACGTGCATGTGCGTGTCACACATTCTGGCTGATTCAAACCTCAAAAACATTTCACACATGTGTACGCGTCACACGTGCGACACACACCAGTCCCACATGTGCCACACGCACATGCACATGCACACGTGCATGTGCACGGATGCCCTAGTGTTTTCACACGTGTTTATTTTTCAATTACATAGTTATTTATATAAAATATTTGAATACTCATCTTCCGATGTGGGATAATTCCTAAACATCATTAAATGAAAACAGAATGTAAGTATATGATATTAATAGGCAATTTTAAACACATATGTTAAGAAGGCATGATGGTTATCACAAGTGCTATTTTCAAAATTTGTACGCATTTTATTAATTTTTACATTGATAATCAAATCTTTTATTTTATTTATTAATTTTTACATTATAAATCATGTAATATACTATTTTTCTTATAGTTGTCAATAATACATTTTAAATTAGATAATATTATAAAATATTTTTAATTTGTTATTCTTTATCTAATAAAATAATTATAAAATTAAACTAATAATTATAATTTCAGTATATAATATTATAATTATTTAGGTTGTAATAATTTTGAATTATAGTTAGTTAGACTGTAATAATTTGGAGTTTTTTAGCGGATTAGGGTTTTTCGTCAAAACGAGATTTTAATGGCCATTTTTTCATTGATTTAGTCTACTCTTTATTATAGTCAATGTGTAATTATATATTTTATCTATGATAATTGTATGATTTTTCTTTTATGTGATACAAATTTAATACTTAAGTTTATACAGGGAAAGAGCATATCAATATTCACAAATTGATAAAAAAATGAAAGTTAATAATGCAGTACCATCATTTCTTATTGGATTCTTAAAAAACAATATTTATAATGAATTTTAATAATTTTTTTGGATTTTTTTGAAGCTTTAATCCAACCGATTCAGTCAATTTCCTATTCGGATCGTCGATTTGTCGATTCGGATCAATTTTTGAGGTGCCCAATCCGGATCACCAATTCGCTTTTTAAGCTTTTTAAACCATTGGTGACATCTAATAAGGAGTGATTGTGACATCTTGTAATAAAAAAAAGTAGTCTCATTGTATATAATCTCTTTTTTTTTCTTTGTACACGATCTTTTTTCTTTTAAGTGTATAGAGAGTGCAATTAGAAATGATTGAGGTAAATTAATGGATCGAAAAGATTACATCCCCAAATTTTAACCGCTAAAATTAATTCTAGGTGAGATTTTACCCAAGGGAATAAGTGAACAATCTGATTACACGGGAGTAGAATATCTTTTGGCTTATTTTATTAAGTGGTTTTCTGGCGAAATATTTCCTTTCTTTCTCGTCACGTGGTCATATCGCTTCCGCAATTTTAATGGACCCCTTTCCCCACAACAATAATAAAGTCTACTGCCCTTTCCTCATAATGAAAATAATAATAACAGTAATAAATAATAATACTGCTGTTTGTATAGAGCCAAGGCTTAAAACAATCAAATTACAGCCCACCTTCAAATAGTATCAAGAAATATGAAAGTTTTGTGATAGCTTTAAATTGTATTTTCTTCTCTAGTTATAAAATTTAAAGCTTAAAAAATAGTGTGAATTAAGCCGGTGAAAACTTAAAAATCTTGAAAATTAACGGTCCAAAAATACATTACAAGATGAATTAGTTTGAAATTTTGAAATCCATTTTATTTTCATGTCCATGCATCTTGATGTCGAGATGATCAATTTAATGATATTTGGGTATCAAAACAACCTCTTTTAGTAAAAGTTTTGAGGTAGTTCAAATTTGATTGTTAAGAGCCTAGGCTCTATGTAAACTTTTCTCTAATTAGTCTGCTCTCCTCTTATTTTAAGAAAAAATGTTCTAGCCGCAGCTGTCCTTTTAATTTTGCCAAAATTTTTCGTGTTCCTGAGGGAGTATAGTATCTATTTATTCTCTTGAGCAAAAACCAATCTAGAAGTATATTTTGGAATTAAGAATATAACCCATTCAAGTGATATGCTATATTTGATACAAAAAACTCCATATTGCATTCTCCATAGGTTTGAAAAAAGCAATGCCTCAAGATCGATTAGAAACCCTCCAATTTTTAAAGGGTGTGATCTAAATGTTAGAAAACTAAAGATTCATTTTTTAATATAATAATCTAGTGGTTTGTAGATGGTCCCGAAAATTTTAGACTAAAACAAAATCTTCCGAATTTAGTCCTCCCAAGTGAGTGAGTAAGTACACAATATGCTCCAGCAGGAGTGTACAGTGAACTCGCTCTTCAATTTTTATTTAGTGGTACCTCACACTTCAGGCAAAGTGCCAGAACAAACATTATATAAGAATGGATTCCTCATTTCTGAGAAATTTGAGATTTGGGGAAATTTTTTAAGAATCCGAGATTTTCGGGAGCCGAGAAAATGAGAAGCAGGAGATATTTTGAGGGCTTCAAGCCCCATATGTTATTGACATTGGATCAGGTGGCTCTTGCTGGTTTCTTGGCGGTGCTCCACTCTGTTCTCTCTCATGCATCAGTGCATATGTCTTTGTGGTTTATGAGCACATCCTTGCCACTCTCACTCTCTCTCTCCTCGCCTTCTTCCTTGAAAGGCAAGTCCCTCTCTCTCTTCCCCCTGCAAAAAGTTGGGACCATCTCTTTTTTTATCTCTCCTATTTTATGTATGAAAATTTGGCACTCCCTGTTTCTATCAAAGTTTAGCTCTCTCCCTGTAATTTATTTATTTATGAAGTTGGTCAAAGTGATTTTTTAGTGTGAGAATGGTCTACTGACCATATTAATTGTTCTTTGGATGATTTTTTTAATGGTAGAAATAAGATGCAGAGGCCGTCGTTCAAGATAATATGTTGGGGTTTCTTCCTGGGCTTCATCCAGTAAGTCGTTTGAGTGATATCTCATCTTTTTTTATCTTTAGATTTCTCCAAAACTCCATGATAACTCATAAGCAATGATCTCTCTCTCTGGATTTTTTAAGATTTTCTAGGCTTAAATACAGGACTCTTCGCTCGATAAAAAAGATATTTAAAGCTTAAAGACAGGACAACTTGGTACAGTTACTGCAATAATCAGTGGCTCATGGATCACCAGTACAGCAAGGGTCGGTAATAGGTCGGGTCCGGGTCCTGACAATGAGTCCATTTGATCTTTACTTGACCTAGTTGGTCTTGGTCCGGTCCGGGTTCGGGTCCATGTACACCTTGGTTCTTGTTGGGAGGGGTCGAAATGGGAAAAAAATAGTACATCTACGTTATCTGGAGGGAGGGAATCCAGATTGTCTGACTTCATTCGCAGAATGAGTTAACAGATTTTTTTGTTTAATCTAGAGAGAGACTTATTCCGCAATGTGCTCAAGTTGTGTTCCGGAACTCGGTTCCGGCCTTGGATTCGGCCCTGTCTCAAGCCGAGTTACCCAGGTGAGTCTGAGTGGGCTCGCCTAGTGTATAGGGCTAAAAAACCCTAAAAATAAAAAATGAAAAGGTAAAAATGAAATGAAAATCTTAGAAATCACACTAAACAAAAATAACATTAAAAATCAAATAAGTTGATAATATATAACGCACGGATCTAGAAAATTTTGATTTTACAGTTAGATATATTTCAGAAAAATACAAAAAAAACAAAGAAGAAAATATGGAAATAAGGCATATAACAAGAAAAACTCATATAACAAGAAAAACTCATAGATCATTGTCAAAAAAACATTTTAATTTGATATAAAATATGGAAAAGTATATAAAAAGATCATTTACTTTTAGCCAACATAAGGAAATCACAATCACTCGTGACCTTTGGGTTTCAAGTTCGGTAGTTGGGAGCATGTCACTAATTAGACTCAAAGTTAAAAAACTTTGTAACACATTTCAAACCATCCAATTTAACATCTCATAGCTATAAATAATTGTGATATCTTTATAAAATGATAAATAGCTACAATCTCATTAAATATTTACAAATTGATTCTACAATTTAATAGTTTTATAATGTTGTTACTTTTTAATTAGGAAAAATATCCCCGTATTTTTTTTTGTTTGTTTTCATATGTCAATAGTAATAAAGATTCAAAATATATCTCCAAATCTCCTTATTGACTTTACCAACTTTTAACTGACTTTTTGACCCTAACAGTTATAAAAAAAGACATAATCATCCTAAATCTTCCTCTCTTTATATGATATATTCCTGTCAAATGTTTCTCATTCTCTCTTTTCTTTGAGATTCTCCCAAACCCTTTCTCTCTCTCTCTATTTTCCCCCACTTTATCTTTCTTTAGGTTTTTCGCCCTCTCTTTTCTTTAAGATTCTCCCAAACCTCTTTTCTTTCTCTATATTTTTCCCTAATTTCTTTTTCTAGGTTTCTCACTCTCTCTCTACCTGTGTTTCTCGAAACCCCTCTCTTTCTCAGTTTGAGTGCCAAAACAGACACAATCTACATGCAGTTAATCGTCCATGCAAATAATATATAACCAATCAATAGAAAAAATCCAAAGAAATCAAGCAATAAAAAATAAACCATAGAGAGAGTGAGTGGAAAAATAGGGAAAGAGAAGGTTTAAGAAAAGTCATGGAGAGAGATTTAGAGAAAAATCACGTGTTAAGAGAGAGAAAGGATGGTGTTTAGATATGATATGTCTTTATTATATTTATCTGAAGTAAAAAAAATAGATTTAAAAGGGATAAAGTTAGCCAAATGGGTAAGAAGATTCAAGACTTAAAATTTCTATGATTCAAGATATGTTTTAAAATCTTGGATCTATTGATATATAAAACTTAAAAATGAAAGGTATCGGGATATTTTTCTTTTAATTAACCCGAATTTTTCTAACTTTGATTAGAGAGAGAGATCAAAAACTAGTTCTAATTTTGATTAGAGGGAGAGGGACGTGGTTCTTTGATTTGAGAGAGAGAGTTTAAATACTAGTTATGACTTTGATTAGAGAGAGAGAGACTTGTTCTAACTTTGATTAGAGAGAGACTTCAAACACTAGTTATTACTTTGACGGGAGAGAGAGATTAGTCGACATTAACTTCTTTCCATTGGGCTGTTTTGGTCCAGGATCCCAATATGCCAATTGCTATTAACTGCAAGCCTCCATTTCATATCTGCAACTTTCCAAAGCATCACTCTAAACACCATTCCCTTTTTTACCTTCATTGGGGCCACACTTTTTGGTCAAGAAAACCTTAACTTCTTCACTATTTATGGGCAAGCCAAGACACGGGGCGTACTGCTTTCTTTTGGGGGAGCAACGGCCATGGTTCTGTGGACCGCCGGACCATCTTCCTATAATCAAAATTCCACCTCTCTACCCTCAAATGCTGGTCTTGGGAGCATCAGAAATGAGGTTATTGGGGGTGTTATGGTCATCTGTGGTGCTATTGCTGGAGCCTCATGGAATCTACTAATGGTAAGTAAGGCTTCAATGCTTGGGACATTGTTTGAAGACTCGGGTTTAGAAATATGATATTATTTCATTAATAATTGATGCAGTAATATATGCTAGAAGATATTATGCTCTCATGGGAGTATACTGTCTATTTACCCACTCGGATAAAACTCCATGTAGGATTAATTTTAGGACCCCAACTTTTAGGATGTAACTTTTTCAATCCACGGATTAACCTCTCTTGAGTACCCTTCTATGTACTTTGAAATAGATACCATCCAATTTTGAGAGGGTGAGATCTTAGTATGGAAAGCTCAAAATGTCTTTTGAGAATATCATCTCCTAATTTTTAGGTGGTTCTTAGAATTTCAGATTGAAAAACTCCTCTGAAGCAGGTCTTTTTACAGAGGGAGTTGATGTACACTATGTTGCCGTAGCAAGATAGTATATGCACTCTAGATCTATTTCCATAAGTTTTATGATGATTTATGAATTTTTTTCATTTTATGATTTAATTTTCTTTTTTCTTTTCTGGAGGGACTTGTCTAAGTTCTTTCAAACTATAAATCAATTTTTTCTATGTTCCACTTGGACTCGCCCCAATTACGGGGCTCGAAGCGGGCCCCAATTACCGGGCTCATAGCGGGCCCCAAAATCCATTTATGGGTGAAATGATCATTTTGGAGAGAAAATAGTGGTCTCCTCCAAACCAGTAGTGAGTCATTAGACTGCATTTTGAGAAAATAACAATATCAATGGTTTCGTGGTGAGTCATTGGGACTGCATTTTGGGAAAATAACAATTGCATTTAAGTGTTGCCCCCCTAAGAAATGCATAATTTATTTCTTTGTATATTTCTTTGGCATTAATTTAAAAATTCAGGTCGAACGACATTCACACTAGTATTTTTAAATGATGCACTAGTGCTATAACCTTCTAGAAGGTTGGGATAGTGTACACCATCTATTTTAGTTGGATGGATATATATTTGACATATATTTGAAGATATTAGCTTTAAAAATAATGTTTAATCTACACCTTTCAACTAATATGAACGGTGTAGATTATTTCAATTTTATCTCTACAAGTAAGGATACAACCTCATGTAAACTTTTTCCATTATTGAAAACCTTTTTGTTTTGACAAAAGGACAAAGTAAAAAATAGTAACATAGAAGATTTGTGGATGTTTAATGTATATTGATGCAAAGAAATAATAACACCATAAAAATAAAAGGAAAAAGGAAAAAGTTAAGAGAATATACCTTCTCTCAAGATGAATTCACACCAAGGTTGAGATAATATACCCTCTCTCAATGTGAATTCACCCCAAGGTTGAGAGAATATACCTTTCTCAAGGTTTGCAAGAGAATCAACCCCAAAAATATCTTCACAACCAAATTTTATTACCTGATCTACATCTTTTTACAATGAAAGGAAACCTTCTTTTAAATAGATTAAAAAATAAGATAAACATTAACAAGAAAAACTCTATCCACAATTTTTTTATTTTATCTTGTTTTCTTTATTTTATCTCTTTTCTCTTAACCTTACGAACCATCCCCTTTTATCTTAAAAATTACTTTTTATTTAACTTTGTCCTTTTACATTTTTAAACTAGCTTTCCTAATTTAACGTTATTTATTTATACTCCTAAACTAACCCAATCCAATTGATAACTAATTAACCCAAATCCATAAATATCAACTCACACATAAACTCAATGCTCTCAAATATCCTTGCGCAACTCTTCTCTTATTCCTGAAGAGATAAACTAAAGAATAATAAAAAATTAAAATAATCTTAATATTATTTGCATTACATTACAGTGAGGATGGGTCTTTTAAATTGTACAGGGATCCATGAAGAAGAAGTACCCAGCAGTTCTGTCACTAACGGCGATGATGGCATGCTTTGGGACCATCCAAACAGCAAGCATAACGGCATTGTTCGAGAGGAAGCCGTCTGCTTGGAAAATCGGACAGCATTGGGGGCTCGAGCTTTTAGCCATTGCCTACGGGGGTCATTTAACTTACCAGTTAGAACGAGATTATTATTTTTCGTATCACAAATACTCTAATAAAATACTTGGGGTGTGGCATTCCTTCACACAGGAGTCTGAGAAAAGCTTTTCGGACTTGGGGTGCAATCAATAGTATATGTCCCTAAATATTCAATTTTTTGTCCGTCTGGTATACTGTTAGAGATGATTGTGAACAATTTTATACCAAGGGCAAGTAGACTTATACTTCTCGATTCAGAAGTAGTCTTTTGGGTATGAAAGGCTCAGCAGTCATTTCAGCTTTCTTGGTGGGTATTGTATTTTGCACCTAAAACTTTGTAGGAATCGATCTCCACCATAGGATGGCTGCCATGGAAGGTGGAGATTATTCATATTTTTATTGAGATCTGCCATTGGTTTATACTGTTGTGGATCATTTTCCATCATATATAAGGCAGTGAAGTTACAAGTCCTGTGAAGTCTAGGATTAGGTCTCAGAGGATCATTATAGTTCCTCTAGAATTTTTTACTGACAAATTATTTTATGAAAATTGCACAATTGGTGTTTATGCATATGCATATGTATGCTCCATAGGGCACATATTACGTGATCTGTGGCCCACAAAATTAAATGGTTTAGCCCCTCAAAAACATAGTAAGGGATTCTCTATCCTAAAATTTCTAAAATTTCTTTAATCACCCATGATCAATTCCATACAAAGAAAATTATTTGGGGCTCAAGAAAAATCTCTAAATCAGTTCCTCCTCGAAGATGAACTTTGGAACATCAATTTGAGGGACTTTCTACAGTTTTAAGAGCATAAAAGCAATTCCTTTTTTTCCCCTTTTTTTAAAGTATTTAGAAGGTGGATCAAAGATGATCTAAAAATATTTAGATAAAAAAAAATCCCTCAATTCTTTTTTTTTATGATTATATGGCAAATAATGAATTATAAAATTTGTTGTAGGGAATAATCATCACAGGCTTATCCTTCTATGTAGAAACATGGTGTCTGTACAAGAAGGGTCCGGTTTTCAAATCCGCATTCTCTCCCCTCCTCATTGTCTTCTCTTTCATCCTTGACACCATTGCGCAAGGAAGCCTTGTTAATCTCAGGAGGTAATTCATTTATATTCAACACTCTAATCCTTTATTGTGATTATTTAGTACTTGGTATTTAGACTAGGATGAGGTTTTGGTACGGCTAAGGCTTTATAAAATTTGGTAAGGTTGTACCCCAAAATCCGGCCAGGAAAACCAGATCCAGCATCAGAAAATATACAAACCTTTGGCCAGCTTTGACTGTAAATTTAAAGTTTCAAAAATAGTTCAAATTTGGTGGATATGTGAATTCTTGAAACAGATGACTAAAAAAATGTTGCATACTGTACCATTTTATAGCTCTAAATTCATTTGCTTTCTTAAATCTATGACAATTGGGTAGAACCACATGTTCTAATGACATCTGAGGTGCAATAGTGTAACTTCAGGTTTACAAATTACTTGAACCCCAAATACTTGGGATTAGGGTTAGATAATGATGATAATAATTTGGTGAATTTGCAGCTTACTTGCAGCAGTGATGGTGGTGGGAGGTTTATATATGCTCTTGTGGGCCAAAGCTCATGACAATGAGGAGGGCACCGCAAAAGAAGATGAGAGCCTAAATTCTCTTTTGTCACCTGAGTAGAGCTATTTCTAAATAGATGTTTCTTGTCAACTTCAAATTAATAGTTTTGCTTTTGGATTGCACGACATGTAAAGCTATTTTGAAGTAATGATATGTTTCTTCTCAAATTCAAATTAATAGTTTTGTTTTTAGATTGCATATGTGACATAACCAAGAAGTGTTATGTTACGACAATAATGGAAATTCTTAATATATCACCATAAATTGATTTTACCAGGTTATTAACTAGAATTTATTATGATAAATAAAACGTAAACATAAATTACAAAAAATAATTGTCACGAACTTATTAACTATTAGTTATTAAGCAATGGGCAGTGGATGAAGTAATGATCATTAGTCTCCTCGTCCCCTTTACACAAAATACAAATGTTTGTAATGATGACCCCCTCTTGCTGAGTTGTTCTACCAATAAGCACTTATCTCTATCTCGCCATAAGAAAGCTTCGACTCTATGAAGATACTTGTAACTCCATATGTTATTCATCTCAGGGACTATTTGTAAAAAGGGATCATGATCCAGGAAACGAGTCATTCAAATCAGGCATATTCTCCATCTCCCTCATATGCTCTACCAAACATCCCAAAGCGCCATAGATCTGTTCCACCATAAAGTGTGTTCTATCTCCAGCAATGAACCCATGAATCCCACCACCTTCTTCAATGAAGCTCCAACCTGGTTTCTTCCTCATCTCTCTACCCATAACCAGCTTCCTCAATTTTTCAGCTTCTCCCCACTTCTTCTCCCATGAATGAATATTACATAAAACCACATTGTAACCAATATTCTCAGGCTCCAATTCAAGAACATTCTTAGCTGCATAAACCGCAATATCTAAATTTGAATGGATTTTGCAAGCATTTAATAGGGCCCCCCAAATTCTACTGTCTGGTTTAATGGGCATGTCCTTGATAACTAACCAAGCTTCTTGTAACTTGCCAGCTCTCCCCAAAAGGTCCACTAAACAAGTGTAGTGGTTCAAACCAGGCTTAATCCCCATAACCAAACTCATGTAGTTGAAGTACTCGAGGCCTTCTTTTATGAGACCCGCATGGCTGCAAGCCGATAAAACACTAACAAAAGTGACCTGATTCGGTTTGATCCCTTCTCTCTCCATTCGACCAAAGAGTTGCAGAGCTTCATGGCCATGGCCATACATGCCATAGCCATCTATCATGGCGGTCCATGAGACGACATCCTTCATGTGCATCTCCTCGAAACATTTTCTTGCGAGCTCCATGCACCCACATTTGGCGTACATGTCCACCATTGATGTTTTCAGGGACATATCATGATCCTCGTAAAACCCATTTCTTATCAGGTAGCCATGGATGACTCTACCAAGTAGTAGAGCTCCAATGTGAGAGCAAGCAAGAACAAGACTTCTCAAAGCATCGGAACCAGGCTTTGGGCCTTCGTATTGCATTCTCTTAAAAAGCACAATGGCTTCCTCTGAGTACCCGTTCCGAGCAAAACCAGAAATCATGGCACTCCATGATACCATGTTTCTCGCTCTCATGGTGTGAAAAAATCGGAATGCCATAGCTATTTCTCCACATTTTGAATACATATCTAAGAGTGCTGTCTCTACAAAAACATCCAATAAACCACTTCTAATCGAAAAATTGTGAAGACATTTACCAGTCTTTGTAACTCCCAATTGTGCACAAGAAGAAATGATAATTGTCATGGTTTCAGGGCTCGGAGCCATCGCTTCAGCTTGCATCAGGCTAAAACACTTCATGGCCTTTTCATCTTCTCCTGTATGAACATAGCCTGAGATCATGGTATTCCAAGAGATGATATCTCTCTCTACCATTAGAGAGAGAAAGCGCTCTGCATCTCTGCAATTTCCAGTCTTGGCATACATTGTCAAGATAGAATTTTGCAGAGATAAATAAGCATCAAAACCATTTTTAATGGTGTAGCAGTGGAGTAGTCTTCCTTGAACTAAATTTTTAGAGAGAGAACAAACCTGAAACATGCAAAGTAGAGTCACTGAATTGGGTTGAAGGCCTTCTAATTGAAGTTCATGAAAAAACAAGAAGGCATGATCAAAATATTGGAGGTGGACAAATCCCATGATAATGGAGGTCCAAGATACCACATCTCTATGAGGCATTTCATTGAACACTTTGAGAGCTAGAGAAATCTCAGATGATTTTATGTACACATCAATCAAGCTGTTAGAAGTATAGATGTCTGATACAAAGCCCATTTTTAGAGAGAGAGTGTGTATTAATTTTCCTTGTTCCAAATGGTTTTCTAGTCCCGAGCAAGCTTTGATCACCAGAGGGAATGTGAAAGTGTCAGGTCTAATGCCTTCAAATTGCATTTGCTTGAACAGAGAGATAGCATACTTGTATGAATTGGGGTCACCCAAGTGGACTTTGATGATTGAATTCCAAACAAAAATCTCTGCTTTTTGCTCCAAGGTTTGGAAGACCAGCATTGAGCTCTCAAGGTCATTGGACTCTGCATATTTGTTGATAAGAAGTGAAGAGAGAGAAAGTTGCTTGTGTAATCCTTTAATGAACATGAGGCCATGGATTTTGAGAAGGGTTTTCCTGTTGTTGGAGGATTTAAGAAGAGAAAAGATGGGTTTCTCTAAGATGGGCCTTTGATGGGGTTGAGTACAAAGAGTTGTCAGGTGATTTCCATGAAATGGAGGAGAAGCCATAGCAGAGATGAGAGAGAAAATGCCATGGAAAGGGAGGTGAGAGAAAGAATGGCCATATGAGATCAGGTTAAGAATATTGGTACTGTGAATTCTGAAAATTTAATGTAAATTTTAACTGGGTTGGTCTGGAGATTCAATGGAAGTCCCTTCACGGCCAGTAGGTCCAGTAGCTAGAATCTTAACTCCATGTATTGAACCTAGAGTGAAGGATCACAATGATAGAACTCCATAGACTCTGTGTGCTAGAACAAACGATTACAGTATTAAAAAGAGAATTTCTTCCACAACTTTATTGAAACTTCCATTCTCTTTATTGATTTGATATAATTGAATTTGATTTTAAAACACTTCAAAAATGTGATAGAGCTAAGGAACTTGATTTAGCAAAAAATTTCATCAAAATTTTTTCAGTAATATGTGTCTCTTAAAAAATTGTTCTCCAAAACCACAAGCAGTAATTACAAGAAAAACTATAATGTTCCAAAGTAATCATATATCTCATTGTATTCCCAGAAAAAGATGGGACACATAACCATATGTCTCAAATAGTCTGTCATTGCATACTCCCAACAAACCCATCATATGTTTTGTGCTGTAAGAGCAGAGTAAGTACGGTTATTATATTTAACAAAAATTTGTCACTATCTAAAGGGTGTAGTTTGTAATAGGGCTGATGATCAAAGTAAGGCCCACCTACTAATGGTGTGGAACGGTGGTGTTTCAGTATTGAAAATCTTTATTATGGCCTAAAAATTTGTTTTTATTTTTAATTATAAAATTTAAAACTTAAAAAATAGTGTCTATCGAAAATACCTATGAATACTAGAAAATCTTGAAAATTGACGGTCCAGAAAGTACATTACAAAATGCACTATTTTCAAAACTTGAAATCCATTTTTTCTCATGTCCTTACATTTTGAAGTCAGGATGATCAATTTGCAGATTTTTGAGCCTCAAATGAACCTCTTCTAAAAAAATTTTGAGGTGCGCCTTAATTTGATTTTTTAGCGTCTCGCACTTATAAAAAATTTTCCCCATCTAAAAAATACCAGGCAAGGACCTAAACTACTGGTCAATGACTTTAACAATAGAATAATTGTAAATCTTGTGTAATTGTTGCATATCTGACTTTTTTTTACTTTGATTTTTTTGAGTCGATCCAAAACATTCATGATTCTTGGACTCTACCTAATTTTATCTATATTTTTACCATATTATTTGTCTCCAACCTTTTGGAACAAAGCCAATTTATTGTCGTTATTTTGGTTTGCCAATATATTGTTCTTCCCTTTCTTGCTAACTATAATCCAGATTAGCCAAATCAACCATCATGCCAAAAATTTTAAAAAATTAATAATAAAGAAGAAAACAAAAACTTGCATAGGTCATCTCCATCATCTATGTTTGTTTGAAGATTTAAAAAAGGCAAATAATAGATTTTAGGCGAATAAAAGATTTTATATAGAACAGTTTTATATAGAACAGGGTAGATTCTCGATTCTGGGAAGAGATCCGCCTTTCCCAAATCCGATCCGGCCCAATGATTCTCAACCGGAATCTGCAGTTTTAAAACCCTGGCTCACGTGAGTTGGAACCTTGGAATTTTTGTATAAAGGAAAAAGAAATTTCCAGGCTCTAGAATCACAAACAGTTCGAATTCAACGGTATGCTCTAAATTCGTAATTAATAGACTATAGTTGGATAGTAATTAACATATATCCCCCGTAATGCAACAAAGAAGTATCCTTTTCCCCATAATAAAAAGGTGGACACCTTCCTATCCTCTAGGGTTTGGCCCTTCCATTTCAAGTCTCAATAAAGATCTGCCTCTCTCTGTCTCTATCAATGTTCCATTTCAAATCTCAATAAAGATCTGCCTCTCTCTATCTCAATGGTGTCGTCAGATTTGCTTCGAAAGTTTTTTTCAATTTGGTGAGAAAAAATGAAATAATTTCATGCTTTGGCCAATTCAAGAGAAGACTTCTTATTTTTTTTTTAAAAAAAAAAAACAATAAATATAAATTAAATATTTACATATGCAACATATAACAATAATAAAAAATTTTAAAATATTTTCAAAAAAAATAAAAAAAATACTTTTATATTGATCTTTCTTTGCTTCTGGCGAATAGGCTGGCGAAGAGGCTGAAGCTTCAATCAATCAGGCCAAAGCTAGCTGGAGCTAACCCAAGTGGCCTGAAGCTGACCAAAACCACTTCACTAGGTTTTGCTTCACTTCAATCTAGGCCAAAAATCTGAAGGCTTGGCGTCTTTGACCGAAGCGAAGATAATCTGACTACACTGCACTCTCTCTCTCTCTCTCGTCTCAACAAGATATGTCTATCTCTATCTCTATCTCTCTCCCTCTCTCTCTCTCTCTCAAGTCTCACTCAAGTCTCAACAATATCTCTCTCAAATCTCAACAAGATATCTCTCTCTCTCTCTTTCTCGATTCACAGCCCATAAACTAGTCTCATCATAATCTCCATTGGCAACCAATCACTAAGTCACATTTTGAGATTACCTTTCTTTTAACTCTTTAATGAAGGACAGCTTGCCAAGAAAATATAGAGCACAAAAAACCCATCTAACCTTCAAAAACTCTACACCTAGTGCGCCTCTGAGGCTACAAATTCCATTGCCACACTTACCAGCAAAACTAAAAAGGGCAAAAGAAAGACTTTGAAACATAGCAAAGAGGCTAATATCACTTCCAACTAAACGGAAGACCATTGCTCGTCATTTCCAACCAAATGAAGACCATTCCTTTCTCTTCTTTCTTTAGGTTGTAGAACAAGACCACAAGTAAACCTCACAGAACAGGAGGTGGAGGGGGTGAGCTACCCAAAGTTACAGCAGGTGGAGTAGAAGGAGCCATGCCGATTAGTGGAGCACTTTTTCTCGCTGGTGTCGGTTTCGGGCCACAATGCCTTCCGCAAGGTGACGTTTTAGGGGGTGGAGATACAAAGAAGCATGGCCAACCCCCACAATAGTCCTCCACTTCCACAACTTCTCCACCAAACACTGAACTACTACTAAACCAGAGCAAAGCAAATACACAAGCTAATCCCAAACTCCCCATTTCCTCTCTCTCTCTCTCTCTCTCTAACCTTTTGTATTGAGGGTATGTTTTCTCTATCCCATCCATCCGACAAGAGCAAGAGCTTTATAGAAGGGTAGAAGCCAACCCCACTTCTCTTTGGCCTTCAGTACTACCCATGGCATTAATAGTGCCTTTAAGTTATTCAGGCCAAAAGGACACTGATCTGAAACTAGTGAAGGAAGAGCATTTGCCTTCAATGGAACTCAGTCAAGTAGGAAGCTACTTGAGGGTGAACTATGGCAACTTGGAGAAAATTCTGGATCCCAAGAAAAAAATGGAATCAATACCAAATCTTGATGTATAGTGAAATGATAAAGAACTGAGATAAGTCATTAGCTGGCATTCTAATTCTTGGAAGGGGTGTTAAACACCCTCGGGTTCTTAGAAGACCATGAATTCATCACCATTGATAATCAGCCGATTAGTTTAACAATGCAAATACATCATTCCTCAAAATAAACCAAGCAAATACAAGAACAAGTTATTCAGATGATTAAAATCACTTGTTGATTCAGTAATAATTTGACAATGTTTAGCAGCTCCACATATTGGACAGTAGAGAGATCATCTTGCCCACCAATCCAACAGGGGCAGGCTGTCCGCCTACATTACAGGATATTTGATACGTAGAAAATTATCAAAACCCATGTCCTCAAAATTTCTTAAAGATCAGAGCAAAACAGGAGTTATCTTATTTATCAACAATAAACCATTAGACTTACAATAAAAATAAGAACGAAAAGTTTTAACAACTAATAAACCCTAGGAGAAGCAAGAGAAAAAAAATCATATAAACTCAATCCCTTCCGTGGCACCCCAAAAGCTGAGGTATCCAGCGTGTGCTTGCTTCCTTTGGTACATGAGTGGTCAACTTTTCTGGAAATGAGTAATGGACTTGTATAAGCATAAACAAAAGTATATATAGGTGAAAAAAATACACAGCAAATGAGATCTCAATTTACTTTAACATATTAAGTAAAAGAGCTAACTGGCTTTATGTACATATTGTAGTGGTTCAACCAAATTGATTCAAATTGGAAAAATAATTAAACGACAAAGGAAAAGAAAGTTCACAAATTTTTCTTCCTTTTCATTCTTTTCTTTTTTGTCTTTTTTTTAATAATTAGAAAACTACATTTTGTTGATTATAGTTTGAGACATTTAGAAAAATGAATTTGCATGGTCACATTTTCATCACAGAACATCCAACAAATAAACCTAAAATACATTCATAATATTCACTGGAATTCATAATATGCACTGTTATAATTGCAGCTTATCCAAATTTGATAGAAAAAAGCCCCTTATATCCTTTTTCAGAATAAAGCTTGAGTCCCACTTTTCTCCGAGCATTTAGCCACAGTGCAAACTCCGGCACTCTTCACAACATGAAGATATAGTAGGTGCAGTGAGTTGGACTAGGTTTTCACAAATAGCCCTACCATCTTCAATATATTAGCATGCAAATACAGAGATAAATGTAGATAAAACATTAAGATATAGTATGTGCAGTGAGTTGGACTGGGTTTTCACAAATACCCTACCATCTTCAATTTATAATCATGCAAATACAGAGATAAATATAGATTCTCTTTTTTAACGTGAAATAAATGGGGAAATTATATTTAGTAAACTGAAGTGGCCTTTATTCTGTAAGTACATTATGAGGGATACCATAGGATATATATTTATATTTTATTTGGCAATTAATCACTACCCAGAATTGTGAATCACTGATGCTCTCTTTATCTTTCCTGTCCTTTGCCTCAACAGAAACGAGGCTCATTAGGAACGTAATTAATGAGCATAGTAAATGCTCTCCTTATATTTCCTGTCCTTAGATCCTCATGGATTAATTACAATCAATGAAATTTTTTATATATAGTCAGCATTACTAGGTTCCTATTTTGTAGTCCAGAATGTTTCACCATTCACCCATAATGACCATCTCTTACTTCTTAATAACTAGAAACAAACGCCCAACCCTTCTAAAAGAACAAATTTTTTGGCTCATTTTTCTGTCTTTTCTGTTCAATTGATCTATCTAGTATTAGTCTTACCAATCATCTAGCCTCTTCTGCAGCATCCCTCTAGCAATCAATAAATCCCACATGGCAGAAATCCAATCAGCCCTAGTTCTTTTGTTTTTGCCTCCTTTCCTTTTGGATTGGCCCTTTTCTTGCAAATTTGTAATATCAATCTGTTTTATGGGTAATGTCAATTAAAACAAAATAAATAAATAAAAGAGGAGCTAGTTATTGTGCGCAATTTTATAGACCAATAAGTACAACTCTTATGGCCCATCTATGCACATGATGGCTCTATATTCTATGGCTGGTGAAATGACTTACAATTGACGTAAAAACTAGCCCTCTAAAAAGTATCTAAAGCCCAAAAGCTTAGAATATAAGAGTAGCCCAGATTGCAAGAGCAAACCACACCAAGTTGTGATACTAAGTTTAAATGTCAAGGCAATAAGGTCCAGTTTGTCAATAATCGTGTCAGGGATAGAGATCTGATCAGGGTTGTTGGAGATGATTAGGGTTTCATGGTGAAAAACTAAGTAACTATGTTCACCTAATGAAATATTGATCCATCCAATGATCGTTTTGAAAGTGAATATATACAATAGGATCCAGGACAGATGGAATTGTCAATCAAAGTTTTAAGTCTTGCAATATATGGGCTTAATTTTGTGAAGGAAAAAAATACACACTTACTAGATAATAAATTTTGAGTAGTGAAATTAAGTTGACGATCAAAAAAAAAAACAACAATTAGAACAGGTGACTTTCGGATGTTCAACTCAAGGTGAAAAAAGAAACCAAAGAGAGCTTCTTTCAGCTGAGTTTGTTATTGAGAACATCCATCTCAACATTAACTTTGGCTCCCAAGATATAGAATTTAAGGGAACGTAGGACCGTCGAACTGCATTTTTCACTGATGCTTGGCTATGTCTGGACCAAAAGGTGACTGATTAAGAACAAGTTGAAGTAATCATGACACAAATAAATGTGAATAATAACATAATGACCTAACCAAAAATTATATGTGTGGACAACAAAAATGCAAGCACCAATGTCTGAAGTGAGCATAGAACATACAAATAATCTTCGGGGGAAGTAGGTTTCATGGCAACTAGATGCTGCTTTCTTATCGTACCAAAGTTTATGTCGTTCTCTAGGACATATAGCATATTGACAAAAAACTAATAATTTTTCTACAAGTAAATTTTTCTTCTTTAAATTGGGACAAAGATCGAAAACGTGAAATACGAGAAGAATATAAGGGCAAGCCATGTAAAATATCTACCAAAAAGATTTCCAGACTCCTGTTGCCTATACTTAATGGAGAAATTTGAACATGAACCTATGAATTTCAGTTCAAATTTGAGGAATATCGAACCAATCTTTGAATCCTGCGGACTAGGCCCTACTTATGAAAACAAATGTGACAAATGGATTTCAAAACCCATGATAGTACAGCATTTTCCTCCAAGCTATAAGAGAAAGCTGCAACACTCTAATGCTAGCTAATAGTTCAACAAATTGCATAAGATTTCTTCTTGATTTACGCAATTAACTCCAAACTCATTGTTTTAGTTCTTATCAAAAAGTCCATCGGCTCTAAAATGCTTGGACTCGAGCATGTGTTTTAACTTCAAGCACAAGAAAGATGTAACCAATTTAACATGTCTTGAAAAACATAAATATTAGCTACAAAATTTAAAGGAAAGTCTTTGGTGAGTCATCCGACTCATGCATCCTCCCTGGTTCTCAAGGGATTCATGTACTGCAAATCCATTTCCGCTTCAGATCTATAATTTTGGTGCTCCAGAGCACTGTAGATCTGGGATCTTGAAATGAGCGTTCCAAAATAGAAGTACAAGACAACCCATTATTATGGCTCGAACTTCATTTTTTTCCCGTACTCGTGACCGTGGTGGCCGGGATGGTAGATCTGTAAACCTGTGGACTCCAAATCCATCACCGAGATGGATTTTGGATGGTAAACTCATTCTATCTATGCATATATTTCTAGCCACTTTTGAAAGAGCATTTAAAGAAACTAGTCCCAAAATTCCAAGAGATAAACAAATAGGTGTTCCATTTCCTTGTTATTCAACTACCTCAGTACACAATTCAAATACAGGAAACGAGAAATGTAACAATACTTTCTGCCAAAACCATGTGTATATGAAATAACATACAGTTTGTCTCAATAAAATTTATGTATTATATTTTGAATGTTAGAAAAAACTATAAAATTAGAATTATTTACATTCAAATTAACTACCCGAAGAAAGAAAAAAAAAAAACTAGATTGATACAACAAAAAAGAAATAACAGCAAAACAAATAGAAAGGAATCAAGATACATAAAAGATTAATCTTACAGTTTATGGAGCTAGACGTGTTAAGATTCTTTCCTAGCATCTGCCATGTAAAACCATAAAGCAAAAATCAAACCATCATAAGTTTTAATCACTTATATTTCAATGGCGAACCCAAAATAAAAAGTAAAAAATTGGAAAACCCTAGATCAATCCAGTAACAAAAATTACGCGGAAATAAAACTGGAAGAAACAAAATGATTCAATAAATGAGCTTACGAATTCATATATTTAGCAAAAACCGAAAAACCCTATATCCAACAATTAAAAAAAAAATCATCAAAAACAAAATGAATCAAGAAATGAGCTTACAAATACATAGATTAAACAAAAACTGAAAAACCCTAGATGAACCCAGTAACGAAAATCGCATCAAATGCGAAAACAAAGCATGAAAAAGCAAAAACGATCGAGAAATGAGCTTACAAATTCCTATATCAATGCGTCTTTCTCCTATGTGACTGTCTTTCGGTTGCCACCCTGTAAATCCAATAAGCCTGGAGCGTCATCAAGGAACCCCAAATACACAATGCAAGAATCAGAGAATATAAAACATAATTTAGAGAGAGAGAGAGAATCGAAATCAGAAATGGAGAGTGTAATTTAGAGAGAGAAAAAGTAATCTAGAGATACAGAGAACAAGGGAAAGAGGTTACGAAAGCGAGGAGGTGGGCAACAATAAGAGCCACGACGAGGAAAGGCACCCAGCCAATGACCCAGGGGCGAGAGACTAACTCCTCCTTCGCCATTAATCTGCATAAGCTTTCAAAGAGAAACACACAGTGAGGAGTCGGGGTTGTTCCTTGCTCCGGAAGGGTAGTCATAAAGCACTGTTGTTACGGCGGTGGTGCAGGAACGTGAGGTAAGTCATGCTACGTAAGTAAGGGGGTTCCAATGGACCCGGACCCGACGGCTAAACCCGTCTCAGGTTCTGGTATGGGTTCAAAAATTGACCCATAGGCCGTATTTCCTAATTTGTGAAAATTGGGTTTGTCTTGGTTAAAAACCCCTCAAAGTACAATAATAAATGTTAGAAGTAAGTTGTGATTTTTGTATTTATCAACAGATCGAGTATTTTTTATTAAAAAATTATTTTTTATAGATAATTTTTATAACTAAATAAGATTAACATTATTAAAAATAAAAATATATTTAGATATATTCTTTGGGTCGGGTTCAATTGGGTTTGAATCTAGGTCCCCCATTATATTTTCGGGTCCAAATTTAAGTTTGATGACTTTTGGTGTGGTCGGGTCCGGTTCTAATAATAGTTTTTTAGGTCTGAACCTAGACCCAGCCCGACCTATTGCCTACCTAGCCATGTCAAACTTAGAGAGAGAGAGAGTTGTTCTTAGAGAGAGATAGAGTGAGTCGCTCTCAGAGAAACGCTAATAGAGAGAGAGGGAGAGAGAGAGAGGTACCAATCTGGAGCAGCCGGTTCCGGTCCAACACGAAAGAAAAGTAACTATAGAGAACCAGAATTACCAAAATCAAATTTTACTGTTTGGTACGATGGATCTGATTAGTGTCTTGGCCAATGTGGAGCTAAAATTAATTTTGATGATAACTTGTCAAGCCTATTTAAGACTTGATTTTGGCTTTTATGACCTGCTGGTTCAATCAGAGCAAATTCTCTTACTTTTGTATGAGTGGAAATCTTTTTTCGAAATTTTTTACTGGGACCAATTGGTATAAAAAAACTTTAATGCCTAATCATATGAAGGGTTTTTTTATGGAAAAATATTTACCAGAAAGTATTTTCACTCGTACCAAATATGCATGTAATTTTATGAGGGAGTTTTTTTAGGACCACGTACGCATTTTCTAAAAAAAATGCGTGTCTAAGTTATATTATTTTCCTTGGTTTTAACCATTAGAGGTTGTGACCTCATTAACCTAGTGCCTAAGCTCATAAAGAAAAGAAAAGAAAATAAAAAACAACAAAAATTATATAAGCTTGATACTTAAAAATGTAAAATAACGATGAACTTCTAAAATCCTTCAAAATAGGTTATTTTTTATGTTAGAAAAATATCTAATTGATCATCATCACATCGAGACTAAAATACCTAATTGATCATCATCACATCGAGACTACATAGATCTTGATATTTCATGCCTTAAAAATAGTATATTCAAGTCTTAAAGATAGTATATTTTACAACACATTATTTGGACCGTCTATTTTCAAGATTCTCATATTTTTATAGATCTACTTGATTTTAATTATTTTTTAAGTTTAAAATTTTATAATTAGAGATGAAAATAGATCCTCGCACCATCCTAGAATTTTTTACACCAAAATTGTATTTCATGATAAAGTTTGGAGATGCATCTTAATTTGATTGTTTAAAGTTGTCGTTATGCATACCATACCCACTTTTAAATACCCAAGAAATCACTTCCTACTCTTAGGTTAAAATTTTAGATAATAAAAAACTTCCAAAATCAGCCTTTCGCCGTAATAGTAGTGCTTGAAATATATTTGGCACAATCTTGGACTCCCTTGAGTCACTCGGACCTAGGCACATTCCAATTTGGACAAATAATACAAAAAAATTGAATTACCCTAATTCCAAGATTCTTATATATTTTCCTATGCTACAGTAGGGGTGGCAATTGGGACCCGAGACCTGACCAATGTCCAGGGGTTGACCAGACAAGTCGGATCCGGGTCCAATAGCCTATATCCGATTCGGGTCTGGATCCAAATCTGGATTTGGGACCAAGTTTGGGTTCTAATCTCTCTTTGTTTTTTTAGTTCAAATATATATTTTTTAATATAGAAATTGATTTTTAAGTTGGGTCCAAGTCCGGTCCAAGTCCCCCATAATCAACTCAGGTCCGGGTCCAGGTCTGGGTCTTGGTCCAAAGACTTTAAATCCTGGTTGGATTTGGGTCCCACAATATATTTTCGAATGCGGACCCGAACTGAACCATTGCCACCCCTATTCTTTGGAGATTCCATCGAATCCGGTGACTCGACACAGTTGAGTAAGCCTTTGATTATGACTTGGGACCCGGTGAATCCAAGCTTCACCTTTAAACATTGTTGCACATAGGTTATCCACTATTTGATTGATCAGATCTAAGGACTTAATTACTCAAATTTCATCTTTTTTTCCTTTTTATGGAATTGCTTATTTGACGATCTCAATTGTATCTCAAATCCCTGCTAAACACGTCATTTGATAAAGATGTAAAATTTAATTTTTAGGAATAAGGATGACAACAGGCCAGGTCATGGCTAGTCATAGCCCAACATAAGACCATAGAGAGCTGCTCTGCGTTCTGCTTAGCCCGAACCGTGTTGAAGAGCCTTACTCCACCCTTCGGCTAGATGGCTAAGCCTGGCTGGGTTGCAAGGGACATTTTTCTTTTTTGGAAACTTTACATGCTTTTCATTAAGGTAATAAAGGGCAAAGGCACAAGGATCAAGGAAAAAACAGACATAAGGAAAGAACAAACAAAAAAAAAAAAAGCAATAAGGAAAAGGGCATTAAGAGGAAATAGCAAGCTTTTTTTTTTTTACAATGTCGGGTACTTTTAAGTTTAGCTAGGCAATCAACTTCCCCATTGGCCGCACGTTAGACATGAGAGAAAGAGACCAGAAGGCCCGGAGTTGAGCAAAGATCAAATATTTTCAACCCAATGATATGAAAAAACCACGGAATCTTTTGCTCTTTCCTGCACCATTTGATGACATTTAGGGAGTTATCTTAAATTAAAATTGGACCTGAAATACCTTTGCTGACAATAACTTCTAGTCCTTATAAAAATGAAGAAATTTCAGCCTGGTTAGCCATGTTATTGCTACAGCATCCTACATAGCAAAAAATTACCAACCATTCATGATCTCTGAGCAAACCACCAACTCCAACTGGACTTGGATTTCCAATGGAGCTACCATCAAATTTGAGTTTGAAAGAGCTCACAGGAGGAAGCTTACAAATAGAGTGAGGACGACAGTGATGCATTTGTAGAATGGACGGAAGGTTAGCAAAAACCAAAGTTATTCGGCCTCCTAAAGACAAAGTCTTTGTCTTCTACAAATCAAGCTTAACTTGATATCTATGAATTAGTGGGTCCCAAACTGCTCTAGTGAGATTATAATATGAAATGGAAACCCCCAAATACTTTAGAGCAAAATTATCAATTTTACACAAGGATAAGAACAAGAGGATCCAAGAGAACCCAACAACAAGAGACTCCAACAAGTTTTATGAAAAGTAACCTTCAAACCAAAGACAAGCTGGCAACATAAAAGGAAACTGTTAAGCTTCTGGATTTGTCTCGAGTCTGCATCACCAAAAATTAAAGTGTTGTCAGCATAATTAAGATGTGAAATAACAAGATCATTCTCTGATACTTGAAATCCATTTCAATATTTTTTATCATATTACAACCCTCAGCAACCAAGGTAAAAAGAAAAATGAGATAGGGGATCCTCTTGCCTAATACCCCTGGAGGCCTTAAAATACCCTTTCCGGCTTCCATTGATAAGGGTTGACAAGTGAGTTGAGGAGAGACAACCCAAAATCCAAGAAATCCATTTTGCTCCAAAACCCATACGTCTCATTATTTCTTGTAACACCTATCATTCAACTATGTCAAAGGCTTTCTCCATATCCAGTTTGATCACTGCCTCAGCTTTCTTTTGAAGAGTTCTTGAATGGATATATTCTTGGGCAATAAAAATGCTATCTATGATCATTTTTTCACGAATGAACGCTGACTGTTCCCCAAAAACAACAAATGGAATAACAACTTTTAGACGTTCAGCAGGTACTTTGGCAATAATTTTGTAAAAGCTTGATAAAAGGTTAATGAGTATGATATCTCCAATGTCGGCAATGATATTTTTTTTTAGGGAACAGAGAAATATTAGTTGAGTTGATGCTTTTAAGCATACGTTTTCTGCCCAAAATTTCTTTTACAAGAAGGAGGAGAACAATTTTAAGCAAGTACCAAAATTTTTGAAAAAAAAAGGAAAGGGGAAGCCATCTAGTCCAGGAGCTTTGTCTCCATGAAGAGCAAAGACCGCCTTCTTAATTTCTTCTTCAGTTACGTCCTTTTCAAGTTCCTCAACCTGGAAAGGGGTAAGGTTTTAAATGGAATACCCTCCATGGAGACCCCTAGCTAATGCTTGCAAGAAAAGGCCTTCAAAAAGTGTTGAATAATTGCATTGTCCTTACCAATAGAATCTCCTTCCAATACACCTAGCATATTCAATGTTGTAATATCATTCTGCCTCCTGCGAACATTGCAATTGTATTAAAAAAATTTGTATTCTGATCACCTTCCTTAAGTCATTTAACATGAGACGTTTGCCTCCAATAAATTTCTACCAATCTGAGGCAATCATGCAATTTATTGAGCAAAACATTTTTGTTGATTAGAGTGTCTTTCAACAAATCATGATTTTCTTGAATGGAACACTCGAGCATTTCTAGATCTATAATGGTGGTCTCTATCTTGCGTTTGAGATGATACCTAATTTCTATTTTCCATGCTAGGACTCTATGCTTGAGATTAATCAACTTTTTATGAAACTAGTATCCAATACTACCAAGAAGATGACATGTACCCCATGTTTGTTTGATAATGTCAATGACTTCAAGCTCTTCAGCCAGCCAATATCAAAATGAAGGGGACCAGGAATCACATCTTTAGTATGCAAGCATATAGGTACATGATTAGAAGAAAGCTTGGTTAAGGCATTAACTTTGACAAACATAAAGGCACTCTCCCAAGCTTCACAAACTAAAAATCTTTCAAATTTAGAGAGGGTGAGATGGCTAGTACTAGTATTAGACCATGTAAAATGAGCCCCTAGTATAGGAAGATCAAGAAGATCATTACCCAAAATGAAATCATTAAACATATGCATCTGTGAGTACACGGATAGAAGAAAAGATTTCATCAGGATGATGAATCAAATTAAAGTCCCCACCCACATCCCAGTGGAAACAATTATGTTCTTAACATCATAAAAAAAACACCTTTTAAAGCAACAATATTCGGTCCATAAACATTTATGAGCACCCAACAAAATACCCTAATTGAACCTTAAAAAATCATAGCAAAAAATCTATCAAATTTCAAAAGTTGGAAACATAAAAGTGTCCCAGAAGACCCACAAACCATCAGAATTCCCAATAGCATCAACACCCTCAAAATGTTCATGGAAAGAGGATGTATCGTCAGGACCTTTGAAGCCACCACCTTGGGAAAGAGCTGAGCAGCCAATACTGTTGCTGGAGACGTCGAGAGCATCAGAGACAGAGTTCCCTGATCTAAAGGTCACAACACCATGAGAAAGGCCAGTAGAGCTACCACGAGCTGCAATTCGTGCGCGAAGGCAAGGATAGAAACTTCAACTTCGGTTTTTTTTATGTTGAAGTAGAACCCACCGCCGAAGTTTCAGTAGCGCCAACAACCACCGAGGGCACCAAAAGATGCGCACACTCAGAGGCAACGTTAGCAACCACATGGGAAAGCGATTGAGCAGATGGTTAGGCAAGAAGGTTTGCAGGGGGCTCAGAGACAACACTCGTCACCACAGGAGTGGCTGCATGTTCTTCAGAGAGATTCCCAGATAGGCTGCATGTTCTTCAGAGAGATTGGTGGTGGGAATGGCTGGTTGAGCAGCATGCATGAGATTGGTGGTGGGAATGGCTGCTTGAGCAGGAGCTTGTTCCCAAGCAGCCGTTTTTGAAGGAATTCCAGGAACAAAGGTTCAGTCATTTCATCATGAGTTACGTCCAACTCCAAGACTCCGTAGCAGCCTGCTGATCATCTGCAGCATCCACTTGAAAAGAAGAGCCACATCTAAAGCCATAACATCTTCATAAATCTTTCGGATCTGATTCTTCAATTTCAACCGCTACAACAGGCCATAGAGATTTAAGAGCACGCTCCCTACGTTGAGACCTCGCCCTTTTGACAGACGAACAGAAATCGAGCAGCATGCGGTGGATCATGGTGAAAAAGAAGACTTGAAATGAGAAAAAATTTTCCCTTGCCAGCAGCAAACACAAGAAGAACACATGGGGTAGGCAGACCAAAAAGAACCGACAGTTAGCCAAGACTTTTAAAGAGATATCCCTAGATATTTTCTCATCTATCGGCTAGCCCCGTTAGATGGGAACAAGCAACTTGCTGGTTTTGGTGGTCGGGTATTTTAAAAAAATAAAAAAAATTATATAAAATCTTAAAAATATTTCATAATTTTGAGAAATATTATAAATTGTTTTGGCCATTAATATGTATATTTGTATTTTTTTATTTTTTTAAAAAAAATTAAAAGTACCTCTGGGCACAAATCGATTCTTTAAAATCCATTTGTTTCCCTAATTTTCAACTTCATTTGGATGTGTTTTGTTTAATCATGCTTTAAATATATTTTTTATATTTTATTAGATATTTTTGTATTTTTTATTTTTTAACATTTTTTTTTTTACCATTTCGGACTTGCCCGGTTAGGCCGCTTGAATCGCTTCTGGCCTCATGTCCAGTTAATCATTCCGGTTCGATTTTTCTTATAGTGATCTAGACCGTCCATTTAGTGAATTTCAAGATCTGGATCTTTACGAACTCAAAACCATTTTTTTCTTTTCAACATTGTTCATCTATTGATAACAAATATATCCAAAAAATTTGAAAGGGGAGAAAATCTTTCTAAAGCCTATATCTAAGCAGCTTAACAAAATGGGCGATTTATATTAATTGGGTTAAAAAAAACAGTTTCTAAGGTGTGTATTCAAATTTCATTTTTATGAAATTGTTCAATGGAATGAAAATAGTGTGTATTTAAAAATTGCAGTTAAACAAATATAACTAACATGATTCCTTTATATCACATACGTAGCATTATTAATATGCATTTCGGGTTGATCCCGACAAGATTTAAGCCGGACCCAATCCAAGACCCAACCTAGTTGGGTCATGGTCAAATGAACCTGATCCATCCCATCTGGTTCCAAAGATTAGAGACATACCCAAACCCAATCGGATCGATCTGTTGACCTATTAGGCCGATACACCGACCCGACCAATTCCCACCCCCAGCAGAGACGGGCCATGAGGTTGGGTCGACCCTAGCACACCTTTGAAGGGAAGCCAGTAGGGACGTGTAAGGTAAGCTGAGAAAGATCGTAAACCTGCAACGTGGGCAAAGCATATTTCACTCACGTGGTTCCTCAAATACGGGCCCTTTGTGAACTGATTTTATGTTCTCGAATGAGCAAAATGTACATTTGCTCTTTCAAGTTAATCAGCCCTTAATAAATACTCGAAACCACATAAAGGTAAATCAATACTAAGTGTACCTTTGAATTTTTTCAAATGACGATCGGAAACTTTACCATGCCTTGAAAATCTGTGTTTAGTTCTAATTATAAAATTTTAATTTTAAATTAAAAATAAACAGTCTAGATAAATTGTTACAAAATGAATTATTTTTAAGACTTAAAGTTATTTTCTTATTTTTATCCAGACAGCTCAATTTTTGAGGTGCATCTTATTTTTATAGTATAAAGTTACAATTTAATATAAACTTTCTAAATACTTCCTCAATATCCCAATGTATTTTTTCTTTTTGGTTGTTCAACAGCGAGAATCGAAATTGTGATATAGTGCTGCTAACTACTCAAGCCCAATAAAAAGTATGGAAAATTAGATTTTTAAATTGTAAAATTAATAAATATATCAAGTTTTCACATGATAAGAGAACTCAATTTTTTACTTTTTTGGAGATTCTAAAATAGTGAACCTAAAATAGACCCATTTTCAAATCGGAAACATTTTCTTTCAGATATATTTGGTAAGTGTGAAAATACTTATTGAAAAAACTTTCTCACATGATTAGGTGTAGAAATATTTCCACACCAATTGATGTAAAAAAATACATTAGGATGAATTAGTATGAAAATAATCACACACCTCATCATATAAGAGAGTTTTCCATGTGAAAAAGTATTTTCACTGTAGCATATTGTCATAAGAGTACAAGTTTACACTTTCCTCCGGGGATCGCAGTTTAGACATTCCTTTAAAATGCTCAAAATTTTCAAAACATCCGATATAAATTATTTGGAAAAGTATATAACAAGACTATTTATCTTTTATAGAAAGTGGATCACAAGATTTTGACCATTGGATGTATCTTTTATAGAAAGTGATCACAAGATTTTGACCATTGGATGTAAAATTTGAAGGCTGCACTTATTTATTGCCGAACTCAAAGTTAAAAAGAAATTTTTTTAACTTTATGGCACATACAAGTTACCAAGATTTCATATTATCAGATTGTAACATTTCATATTATCAGATTGTAACTCAGTGTGACCTTTCTGCACGAAAGGTATTGGTCTCATGGTATACAATCTTTTAACTCTTTAGCTATCGAAAGGGAGGGAGAGCATATTTCTTTCAATTTCTTCTAGAGAGAGAGAGCATTTTCGTTCAAGTTCTCTTTTGAGAGAGAGATCATTTTCGTTCAATTTCTCTTTTGAGAGAGAGAGAGAGCTTCCGTAAGTGCGTTAAGTAGTGAGAGGAGAGACAGAGTCTCTAGCTTGTGAGCCCCTTGGTTACGAAGGTTTCGGGTTTTTGGAATCATGTAAAATAGTTCTATGAATATTGATGGAATTTTCACATCGGTTGAAATGTGCTTCCAGGCTTGAGGGAGAAATTTTGGCGCGAATCGATAGTATTTCACCAGTAAGGTATAGAAGCTAGAGTTTGGGATGATTAATTTTCTCTATGATCTTCGTTTTATGGTTTAGAATACTGTTCTTCTCATCGTATATATATGTTCTATGTTGATTTTTTCTTTTTTTAGTTTTTGCTAAAAAAAATGCTGGTAAATTAATTTAATGGAATGGGTTTTAACTTTTGAATTAATATCTGAAAATTTTAGGGTTCTTTTGGCGACGACCAAGCACGAGTTTGATGCATGGAATGGATTTCTGAAATGGGTTGAAGCCTATCTTTGCCTGTAAATTTTAGCCCATGAGGAATGTGCTTTCACGCCTGAATAGGCAACAATATGCAGCTCTTTTTCACCATTATGCCTCAATTTCAACAGGTATATAAATGGTGCTTTCCATTTGTGTATTTGATCGATTAAGCTTGAGTTATTTGCTCACTAATGCCTGTTAACCTCTTTATGATCTGTTTATTCAACTGGTTTCACTTGCATTACTCAATATAACAATATAGATGAAAATAGTTGCAAAAAATAAAAAATTGGAACATGGATAGTTGGAAAACAAAGGAAGTAGGGGAAATATAATATGATACAAGGATAGATACAAGCATGTTATTGAATGGATTCAAGTATGCTAGTTGCGATTATAACATTAATCTGAAAAAGGGTTTTAATAGGGAAAACCTATTTATCAGCTTGCATGAATGCCATAGCAACAATTTCCCAAAATACCAATAGAACCAAAATCAAATCCAAAATTATGCGAACAGTCTTTTCCTTTGGTACCTTAATTATTATAGCATGGTAAATTGATATTCAATGGGACATTGCAGTCCATGACTAGGGAAAATTCACACATTTATTGCCGCTTTTTTTTATTGTTATGTTTTGCCTCCCAATCAAAATCTCCAACCTGTCTTTAGAATCATCCATACTCTCTTAACAGGTAATTTTTTGGAGTAATACTTTGCACTTCTCTTTGCTTTTCAGGCCTGCATTATATTGGTGTTTCAAAGTCTTCCCAGTTTAGACGTGGAAGAGGCAGTGAAACTCAGAGATGGAGAATGGATATGGTTCCGATTGACTTGTGGCTTCAGCATCAGTATGAGGAGATGTTTTGCCCATTTCTCAGTTCCATGAATTCCTGACTACTTTAATTGCCGATTTAGTAAATATGGTTCTGTTCCATTAATGCCAGAGCCACTGTTAATTGGTGATTTGGAAAATTTGGGTTGATTCCATTACTGCAACAACCATTGTTAATTGGTGATTTGGAAAATTGGGTTTTGTTTGTCTCGATATTTCATGACCTAAATGTTGAATAGATGATTTTTAACATGTTCTTCTGTAGTTTTTCAACTGGGTTCACTAGCATCCATGGAGAAAGACCCTCAGCGGAGTATGCAAAACTGAGGAAGGAGTCCCTCGAAAATGAATTTGGGCATGCACTTGGAACATATAGCTCAAAGAGCTTGTCGTCTTCCTTTAAGTTTGGTCCATTTTGGGCCCTGTATAGGGCTGCATTTATTTCATTCCAGGTGGTGAAGTTGACCGTACTGCATTTTTTTGTTCGTGACATCCATGACCGTGCTGTAAAGGTATCTACATCTCTAGTTTCATAGTTTGTATAGACACATATCACTCATGGTTGGCTCGACTTTGCTCTTTTGGATCTAGTGATTGTTGAGGCCTTCAATGAAATGTGAACTATTTAAGTAAGGAAAAAGTTTATATAAAGTTGCAACCTTAAAATGTAGAATTACAGATGCACCTCAAAAATCCATCGGAGAATGTTGTTTTAATGTTGAAAAACCCTCTAATTGATCATCTCGACATCGAGATATATGAATATGAAAAAAAAAAAAAAGATTTTGAATCCCACAAATAGTGCATCTTCCAACACATTATCCAGATCATCGATTTTCAAGATTTTCATATATTTATAGATCTACTTGATTTTGACCATTTGTGAAGTTTAAAA